CAACCTCTGCCTCCTGGGTTCAGGCAATTCTCCTGCCTCAGCCTCCTGAGTAGCTGGGATTACAGGCACACGCCACCATGCCCAGCTGAATTTTTGTATTTCTTATCTGTAAACGGAAGGTTGTAAAACCTCCCTCTCAATGTGGCTGTAAGGAAAGTATGGAATAAGATTAGATATTCATTATAGACTGTTCCTTAGAGCTGATAATAGCAACACCTCTAAGGTGTGGATAATCAGTATATGGGTTTGAATCTCCCTGTGGTTCGTAATTCCCTATCAAAGAGCTTGTAATAGTTTTGGATGAAATCGTCTTGAGTGGCAGAGGAATAAAGGGAGCTCTGATGCTACCTACCTTTGTGGGTTTTCTCTCCCCAAGGGAATCTGGGGAAAGCTGCCTGTCAACAGCATAATTGAAGTCTCATTTATCACCCACACAGCTTTCTTCACTTTTAGGAGAATACTTGCATTATTTGGGACTCAGTATAGATAAAAGACTTAACCAGAGTTGCCCCAGCTATGATCAGCCTTAAATTCAACAGGAGTCACATTAGCAGGCCTGCATAAAACCCCTGAGGATTCTGGCCCCTTCCTTCTTATGTCTGCCACCCATGGAGCAACTCAGGGGATCACTATTGTTAGAGTTGCTAGGGCCTTCCATGAGAAAGCTGAGGAAGTGTCTCGAGGAGCTCCAGTGTCAGGGTAGCCCTCACTCCAGGAGGGCCACCCTGAGTTCTGCACAGAAAAAATTTCTGTTTTTCACCATGTGTTGGACCTTCTTATCTTGAGATAAAGGTGGGACAGCCTCTGTCCCATTCTCACAGTATCTCTTGTGAGTACAGTTCCTGTAACTTCTTCCAGCAAACATTGTCTCTACAGGGCTTGTTTATGACCAGGTCGGAGATTCCATGACATCTTCTTATTCCCCATCTCGCTCCCCAACAATCAAACTAGAAAATGCTGGTCTGTGAAGACACTGCCAAGAGAATGAAAAGCCACAGTCTAGGAAAAATATTTACATAATACATGTCCAGTAAAGGGCTTATATTCAAAACATGCAAAGAACTCTTTTAAAAAAATTTTTGAAATATAATTTATATACCATACATTGCACCCATTTAAGGTTGTATAATTCAACAATTTGGGATATATTACCTTAGTAGTTTTTTAAGCTGTGGTAAAATATATATAATATAAAATTAGCCATTTTGACAATTTTTAATTATACAATTAAATGGCACTAAGTACATTCACAATGTTGTACAACCATCACCATTATCCATTTTTAAAACTTTTTCTCACTCCAAACAGAAATTCTGTAACCAATAATCAATAGCCATCACTTGCCTTCCTTCAAGTCCATGGGGACTTCAAAGCTACTTTCTGTCTCTATTAATTTTTCTGTTCCAGACATTTCATATAAGTAAAATCACATAATATTGTCCTTTTGTGTCTGGCTTATTTTACTTAGCGTAGTGTTTTCAAGGTTCATCCATGAAGTAGCACAGAGCAGAACTTCATTCCTTTTCATTGCTGAATACATTTTCATTGCATGTATATACATTTTGTTAATTCATTCATATGTTGTGTTTTAATATACACAAGTATATTTCCTTGCTCTGCCAACTGAGAGGGACTAGAAATATGTAAGGGACACAGGAGTTAAGTAGTGCCCAAATCTTGCCTTCTAATACCATGCTCCGAAAAAGGAATTGGGGATCCTTGAAGAAATGGCTTAGTCTAGGACCACAGCTAGCAATGTACAAAATGAACCTGGAGCATCTTGTAGTGCCAGAAAATAAGGAATTTCAAAACAAAAACCAACAAAGAACCCACCACTGCTACATTATGTGTAGTATATCAAAGAAATCCAAGAACCAACTGAGAACACTCCCAATGGCCAAGGCCAGAAGTAAGCAGGAGTAACTTTACAGTGGAGAAACCTGATAAGCATGACTCTGGCCACTAACTGAGGTCCATATCAACAGTGATAATCACATTTATTATATGTACCCTTAGTCCAATGTGAAGAAAATGGCACTCTACTTCTGTGATCTTCCTTCCAAAAACCCATTAACCACAATCCAATCATGAGAAAAACATCAGACAAGGTCCAGTAGAGGGGTATGTGCAAAATACCTGACCAGGGCTTCTCCAAAATGTTAAGGTCATCAAAAACAAGGGACATCTGGGAAACTGTCAGAGCCAAGAGGAGCCTAAGGAGAAACGATGACTAAATTTAATATGGGATCCTGGATGGGGTCCTGGAACAAAATATATATATATATAATATAAATAATATATATTATATGTAATATATATTAACAATACATATATACACATATTTATCTATATCTATATATCTATATATGTTAGATAAAAACTTTTAAAAATCTGAATAAACTAAAGGCTTTAGTTAATAATAATGGATCATTATTGGTTCATTAACTGTAATGAACTTATACTACTAATGTCAAATGTTAATAATCAGGGACACTGGATGAAGGGGCATATGGGAACTCTGTACTGTCTTCTCAGTTTTTCTGTAAATACTGTTTGTATTAGTTTATTTTCACACTGCTATAAAGATACTACCCGAGACTGGGTAATTTATAAACAAAAGAGGCTTAATTGACTCATAGTTCCACATGGCTAGGGAGGCCTCAGGAAACTTAGAATCATGGTAGAAGGGGAATGGGAAGCAAGCGGGTCTTACATGATGGCAGGAGAGAGAGAAAAGGAGGAAGCACCAGACACTTATCAAACAACCAGATCCCATGAGAATTCACTCACTATAACAAAAATAGCATGTGGAAACCTGCCCTATGATTCAATCACCTCCCACCAGTGATTGGGACTATAGATTTGGATTACAATTCAAGATGAGATTTGGGTGGGAACACAGAGACAAACCATATCACTGTTCTAAAAAATAAAATAAAACATATATTTTTAAAAAAAGAAAACAAAACAGAAAAACCATCGGGTGCAGTGGCTCATGCCTGTAATCCCAGCACTTTGGGAGGCTGGGGCAGGCAGATCATGAGTTCAAGAGTTCAAGACCAGACTGACCAACATGGTGAAACCCCGTCTCTACTAAAAATACAAAAATTAGCCGGGTGTGGTAGTACACACCTGTAATCCCAGCTACTCAGGGGGCTGAGGCAGGAGAACTGCTTGAACCCAGGAGGTGGAGGTTGCAGTGAGATGAGATCACGCCACTACACTCCAACCTGGGTGACAGAATGAGACTCCATCTCAAAACAAAACAAAACAAAACAAAACCAAAAACAAAAAAACCCTGATGATACAGATATTTTCTCCATTTTTTTCCAGTGAGGAAGCTGAAAGTAAGCATCAAAGTAACTGGCACAAGATGACCCTCCTACTTAAATAGCCGAGGTGGGATTTGAGTTGAGGGCCCTTTCTACCGAGTCACACTGACTTTTGCCTGTCTGTGGGTGGGACCCCCCTGTTTCTTTGTTTCCCAAGTATGCACTTATGTGTGGGTGTTTTTTTCTTGTTCTTCCCAGGGGATGGCCTTTACACTTGAAGAAAGGCTGCAGCTTGGAATCCACGGCCTAATCCCCCCCTGCTTTCTGAGCCAGGACGTCCAGCTCCTCCGGATCATGAGATATTACGAGCGGCAGCAGAGTGACCTGGACAAGTTAGTACCTAGCATCCGCTCTCTCTGCTTGGTCCTTGGGCTGAGCTGTCTGTTTCCTGTGCTTCACAGAGGGTTTTCTGGAAACTCTCCAGCTAAAAAAGGCTGAGAGCCCAAAGACTTCCCAGACTCAGCCCTACCTCCTAAAGAATGCATGGTCTCCCTGAGAGACAAGGCTTTTTATGACTGAGGCATAGCCCACATGTCCTGGGGGAACTGGGAAGAGAAACTGCATTCCAACCATTGGAATCTGGGAGGGCCTCTGGGAAGTGGTAGAAACTGAGTCAGCATAAGAAGCACTGATAAGACTTCAGCAGACAGCAATGGAGTTTAGGAAGAGCATTTCACTAAGAGGAAAGAAGTGGAGCAAAGACGTAGAGACAGGCATGTTAAGGAAGTGGTACATGGCTTGGGTTCCTGGAATTAAGGGGATGTGGTCAGGGAGAGGGAAATGGACAGGGGATGCTTTAGGATGAACCTAGATATCATTTGTTAGAGGTTATGGGGAGCAGTTAATAACCCTGCCCCCTCTCTGCATTCTTCTCCAATGGAGATCCAGACATAAAGAGTCAATAGGGAATCACAGGTTCAACTTTAACAGCTTTACTGAAGAAGGTGTTACTTCCCAGGTAGCATGGCTATAAATGGGCATAGCTAGGATTTGGACACAGAGACCTGGCTCCAGAGTCTATGCTTTTCATTTCTCTTCTATGCCACAGCTAAGAAGCAGCAGAGCCCAGTGGCTACAAGACTAGATTCTAGTACTACATTGAGTTCAAATCTATATTCTACCTCTTAATAGCAAAAGTTACTTAGCCTATATGGGTCTTTCTCATTGGTACAATGAGTACCATAGGGAAAAGTCATAGGGTTGTTATGAGGATTAAATGCCTTAGTATTTATGATGTGCTTAGAACAGTGCCTGGCACATAGTAGGCACTATGTCAGCATTTTCAAGTAAATATGTCACCTTGTCATGGGCTCTAGCAGAAATGTAAAAAGAAGATAAGGAATTCCCCTCTTAGAACAAACAAACTATAGAACAAACTGGCCAAAACTTCGGGTCCTTGAGCGTGTGGCTGTCCCCCTAGGGGCAGAGCTCAGTAGCATGCCAGGGTCACCCTGCACTCATATTCCTATGTTTCCCCCATACCATCCATTGCTTCTGAGTGGTGATGAACACAGAAGCCTCAGCCCATACCCCACCCCTACTCCCAAAGCTCTAAACTTGAAGGATGTTACTCACATTAATTCCAAGGCCATACTGTAGTCAGGCCAAGTATCCTCTCCCTCTTTTTTTTAATCTCACTCTGATTGGGTCTAGCTAAGTCGCTCTGAAGAGCAAGCCAGAAATTACACAATGAATTCAACTAACAGGATGAGACACGCCCTAACTTTGAACAATCTGAGCCTTCTTCTTTTGTTAAATTTATAAAGAAGAAATCAAGTCCAAAGTGAAATCCTCTTTCCTACAGATATTAAGTTCTAAAAGTTAAATTCCAAAATCCTTCCCTCCCCAGTTTTTTCCAGCTATATGGGCCTCACTCATAGGCCTGGGGAAACATTCCAGGCTCAGTGACAAAAGAGTGTGCCCTTTCCTGGGAGCTGTACAGGGCTGGCTCCTGATGCTGCATTGACCACATTGACCCACTTATTCCCAGGAATCCTTCATTTTACAGGGTGCTTGGGGACATGCTAAGAAAACTCCCCATCTTCTCTAGGGTAAGAGCAGTGATGTGCTGGTAAATCTTTTATAACTGGTTCTCTATGTGGGATGAGGGGTGGGATAGGAGATTATGGCATCTCCCAGATTCCATAGTATAAATACTTGTACCATGGCTGATTTCAGATTACTAGTTTGACATAGCTGAATGTAGAATTGAGAAAAAATGTGCACAAATGGCTATTGGGTAAGAGAATCCCACACTGGCAATGGGCTGAGATCCTGGCTATTCCTGAGTATCAATCCTCCCTTGCTAAAAACACCTTCCAGAACACACTTTTCAGTTTTCCACCAAAGGACCAATGCCTTTGGTAGAGACGAAGAGGCTGAGACCCAAGGGGTCACACAAGACTTTCCCAAGTTCACACAGCTAATAAACGGCAGAGCTGGGATTCAAACTCGGGATCCTGATGTCATGCCCAGTGATCATTTCACCAGAGCAGAGTATTTTTCCCCATTAGAGCATTTCTGTCATCCCACCCCATGCCAGAGCATCAAGTACCTTAGAACTCTCCCCCAGATTGTTATCTAGAAAGGTTGCGATATTAGCAGCCACATTTAATTATGAATTTCAGCCCCTAGGTTTTCTCTCACAGAGGTTTTTGCATTCTTAGGAGTCTGAATGGAAGGCTCTTTTCCTGGCTTAGTGATTTCAGGTTTCAGGAAATAGGTAAAGGAGAGGTTATTTTTAGAAATCAAAACTTATGACAGGAACCAGCCCAGTGTTGCTGGAAAGGCCAGTCCATAGAGTGCTTATATGCCCAGGATTTTCCTTGACCCTACCCCACCCCCAGAAAATTATTATGCTATTGTCATTCATTAATGTCCACATAATATCATAAGCATCTTACACAGTGGTTGAGAGCACAGATTCCAGAGTCAGATTGCTTAGATTCAAATTCCTACCCTGCCATGAGACCTGGGGTAAGTTAATTTCTCTCCATATTAGTCTCCTTGCCTCTAAAATGGCAAGAATTATGGTGCCTACTTCACAAGCCATTGGGAAATTTTAAAGGAATTAATGTAAAATATTTAGAACAGTACCTACACCATGTATAATAATAAGCATCACAGGCAGGTCATCTTCACATTTCATAGCTGTTGAAGCTCATGCTCAGGGCAGATGGCTTGCCCTGAATGTACCCTTGTAGCCGAGCAGCAGCAAGAGCCCTGGGTCTTTGCACCATACCACAGAGGCGTCAGGGCCTGCTGCTACCACACATCAGCCTGCTTTTTCTCTCCCTTTCGAAGGTACATCATTCTCATGACACTCCAAGACCGGAATGAGAAGCTTTTCTACCGAGTGCTGACCTCAGATGTGGAGAAGTTCATGCCGATCGTGTACACACCCACAGTGGGGCTGGCCTGTCAGCACTATGGCCTGACCTTCCGCAGACCCCGGTGAGCTACTGTGGAGTGAGGGCTCTGGGAGGGGCTGCTTCATAGAGGGGAATAAATTCTTTCCACCATTCATGCTTATTGGGACCCTACAGGCTAACTCCTGATTGGATCAGTGGTCCAACAAAGAGACATTTGATTTTAAGCACTTGCTCAGGAAAATGACCCAATAAGCAGAGAAATGAGCTGAAAGAGTAGCTAGCAAGGGGATATTGAATCTTCTTTACTTCCAAATAATAAATGCTCAACATGCTCAGAGTTGGCCTGAGAAAGGGTTCAGGTTGTTTTTCTCTCATTATCTACCTATTACTTCTCTCACCCGCTCTGGTCATCTCTAAAGTACCAACAGCTCTCCTGCAAGTTTGGGCCAATGAATAATGGAGTGGTGGATACCAAAGACTGAATTCTTTTGCTGTCTCGAAAAACCAGCATATCTTCCTTTGGATTGACTCAGATTCCATTTTAGATGTCATGTTATTAGACAAAACTTTGGCACTCCATTTTCTTTCAGAGCCAAAGAATTTTGGGCAGTTTTCTAAAGCAATCAGATTTTTTTTAATAATGATTTCAGAATATATATTTAAAAAAGAAAAAATGGGAGGGTCCTCAGTGGAAGGTGCCTGATAATTATAAATACATAGTTCTAGCGCTAGTGTTAAAAGAGCTACCTGGCTTATAAAATATAATGGAATATTATTCTAGTCTATGTTCAAATATGTAAATATGCAACATACTGTGCACAGATGTGTAATTTACATTTATGTAGAATTTATAAGTCAGTGTTTGTAAATCACATGTTATATGGGGAACATGTAATTGTTAATTTGGAAAATCAGTCTTCTAGTTTGGTAGCCAGAATTTGGGTTGAACATTACAAGATGGTCACAGTGTGTTCCCAATGCCAGTCCTGTTTCTTTCTGGGTCCCATTGTTACAACTGGCAAAGGATAGCGCATCAGACCTCATCTTGATGGTGGTGTGTTCACCTGTTGCAGCAGACACGTTTTCATCACTCAGAACAACCAGGCTTTTGCAAACCTATGGACAGCCACTATGCCAGGGCCCCATAGCAGTTCTGGCCTTCAACATGCTTCTTTCAACAGGAAAAAGACTCCTGTTCTCTTATTCTCATTCCCGAAACCAGCAGTGGCAGAGACATTGGGAGCTGATGGTACATTTCTGAAGGATGCAGGACTCTATGTACCTCCCCGTTCCTTCTCAGAAATGGTCTTTTCAGCAAAAATCAGCTCATGGGCATTTCATCTGAGGCATTTAGCAGCTCCCAGGGCTTAAAGAATCAAGCCCAATAGTTTGATAAAGCTAAGCCTGTCACAGTTCAGCTCCAAAATCCAATGTTCTAGCTACTCTGATCTATTATCCATGCCCAAGTACACCGGTGTTCTTCTCCATGCATTTGCATGTATGGTCCTGTCTGCCTCAAACTCCTGCATCTCCCCTTTCCCTAGTCTCCACTCATCACAATTCAGGTTACCCTTCAAGGCCCACCCCAAGGGTCAACTTCTCCTGGGAACTGTCCCCAGTCCTCTCAGGATGAACTGACCACCCCTTTCTTGGCCTCCTCACGATCCATTATACTTACTTCTTCTATCCCATAGTTTTCTTTATGTTTTTATTTGTTTGTATATAACTCTCTTCTACTAGAATACAAAATTCTTGAAGGGGCAAGAAACATGACGGATCCATTCTGTATTCTAGACCAATACTTGGCAAGTAGTTGTCACTCGGTTGGGAAAGTAATGCTGTGTACTCACTGTGAATAATTGGTTCTTTGCAGTCAGCCCTGAATTTTAGTCTCCTTGACCCTGGGGGATTTTCTTATCCTCTCTCTCCCTTAATTTCCACATTTGTGAAATAGAGGTAATAATACCACCTACCTCAGTCATTAAGAGGGTAAAATGAGAAGTGTGGATCAGGTACCTGGCATAAAATTGGAACGAGATAAATATCAGTGTCTATTTCTCTTCAGTAACTATTGTAGAAAGAAGAAAGGATTGATAGATGTTGAGTCATATTGTACATATGCATGTTTACATATTTACCAAGAAAATTGAATCACTGAACACGTAACAAACTAACTCTTTTAACTTCGGAGGGAAACCAAACCCAAGATTATGCAAACATATACAATTTTGCTTTTCCAGAACCAGCTTTTTCCTGAAGAGGGCCTTTATTCCCTAAGGCAAGGTTAACCATCTCCCCTGGCTGAAATCTTATGGAAATTCAAGGCTGTCCAACTCTGGTCCCCTACTGCCAGGATTGTGTGAAAGCCCTTACTCCATAAGCTCCTATGGAGACTAGACTGTGGTGCTTCAGTTGGTTCCAGTCATCAGGCTCAGGACCCTGCATATGCAACAGGCTTGTGAAAGGAGAATTTGCCTCCAGAGCCCACTCCAGAATCCAGGGAAACCACTAGGACTGAATTTACATATCTTAACTCATTTAATTATTATAACCTCCCTAGGAGGTAGGTCCTATTATCATCTTATTTGCAGACAGAAAAACTGAGGCACAGGGAAATAACTTACCCAAAGTCACACAGTTTATAACCAGCAAAGCCAGGGCCCAACCCAATCTGAACCAAAGTATAGACAGGCAACCATTACACTACACTGCCTCTTATAGTTTAAGACTGTGCACAGTTGGTGGGCATTCTGGGTGTGATGTCATTGCAGCTCCAGGAATGTTTGACTGCCCAGGGATCTCAGATGGAGATTGTTAGATACCATTTCCAGTGCTCTCCAGGGAGGAATTGATCCAGTGAGGTCCTGGGGCCTGCAGCTGGGTGAGGCTGAGGCAGGCTTGGGCAGACTTAACCATCTTCTTGGATTAGTCCTTCACACTCTTGGTTCAGACTTCCCGCATATGTTGTGCACAAACCCTTCTTCAGATGATTACCCAATTAAGTTATTTGACATGTGACATTCTGAGTTGTTGCTCTAGGTTTCCTTTTGGCTGCTTTCCAGATATAGATTCCACACCTGTCTTGCTCCTGAGGGAAATAAGAGTTTGGGCTCCACCCCAGCCCTGAACTTCATCTGAGACCTGGCTTGGACTTAATTTGTGGATTAGCATCTGAAGGGAGGACAGTCTCAAGGCCAAGAGGGAGAGAGCCAGAGCCTTCTCAGTTTCTGAAATGATAAGCATTACTGCCAGGTTCCCAAGAACAATGAAGTCCTCTGTAAAAGGAACTGGCCCCCCACCAAAGCTAATTACATCCAGCTGTTACTAAAATTGAGCCTCCAACATGCCTGGGGTTCTGCATCACCTCACAACTGGGAATAGAGTATCTTGGGACTGAGTATCCCTGGGCAGATAGGCACCGCAGAAGGTTCTGGGCTCTGGTGGAGCCTCCTCTGCTTCATTCTGCCTCCCACCTGATACATCCTCTACATGCACCTCCATGAGCGTGGCTTGAGGGAATGCCCCCTGAAGGTCAGTCACTAGTGTGTGACCTAGAAGAGGTGAAAGCCAGAGGTGAGGCTGGATCAAGGCCAAAATAGAACTCAATCCAGAGAAAAGTCGTGGGGAGGAAGCCAATATGGGGTCCAGTGTCAGCAAATACTCTCCTTTTCCCAGGCCACCTATCTCTTGACCAGCCCTGTCTTCACAGGCCTCATCCTGTAGACCTAACATTTCCTGGGTTTGGTGTGGGGTCCAGCCCATATGGGTGATGGAGGTCTGAAAGAAAACATTATGGTACTTATTAAAGATGGTAAGGCAGAGTTTATTCAGGAGCTGGAGGGCGGGGGATCACCATGGATGTATGAACCACAGCCGAGGGGTCTTGCAGTGAGGGAGAGAGAGTGGACTCAACTCTGACTCTGGTAAGGACAAATGGGGATTTATCCCAGGAACAGCATGTGGCAGGGGCAGTGTGTGGGAAATTACTAGGAGGAAACATCAAGAATGAGAGGTTACTGGTTAAAAAACACATACAGAAAACATTGATAAGATGGGATTATTGCTGAAGGCAGGCCAGGGTCCTGAGATAACAAGGGGGGCAAGTTACCAAAGGTAGGTGGAGGATTTTAGCCAAACTGACTTAGCAGGATTCTTGCTCAAACTGGATTCTACAAGGATAGGGAGGAAAGCCCAATGTCTGACCTAGTCGGAGAGGACTCAGGAGCCCAACTAAAGTTTTGGTCAAAGGAGAGTCTTTGTCAGAGGGCTGGGTTGTAGGTAGTAGAAGTAGCAAGGACTTTGAAGCCAGGCAGGCTTGGCCTTGAATCTCACCTCTTGATGACTTGTGACAATTAATTTAGCACCTTCTCAGTCTCCTCATGTGTAAAATGGGAATAACGCCTATTCACATGGCTGCTTAGGAGGATTTAATCAGATTCCAAATGTAAAGGGCCTGGCCCTAATAGGAGCTCAGCAGCTGTGATCTGCTTGACTCAGGATCCCCAGGAGTTGTTATCTCCTCAGTCACCCTACCCAATAATACACACTGTAAACCTACTGAGGCCACCCCAGTCCTCTGAAGTACTGCCACACTGTTGTTTGATTCAGACCTGAAATCACCTGCAGTTAACTAGCAAATCATTAGCAAGCATATGTGAGGAATTAGAGATCATGCTGTGATAAGTTAGAAAGGTGAGGCTGGGAAGTGGGACTTGGTTTTGTGTAGTCGAAGGATCTGTGGAAAGTACCTGAAGATTTATTTGGACAAAGCCAGCAGCTCTTGGACCTGAGCCAAGCTGCTGTCTTTCTTATCTGCAAACAGGTGGGCTTCTGCACACCAGCCAATAACACACATACAAGATATTAACAGTTACCATTTATTGAACGCGTGTGCTGCTCATGGTGGGCCCTGGTCTAGCTACTTTGTGTGCATTGTTGTTGAACCCTACAACAACCCCACGAGGTTCTTATTATTTTGCTGAGATGAAAACAAAAGCTAACTTATCTAAGACATCACGGCTGACTCAGAGCCCATTTCCAGTCATAGTTCAGCCCCTGGTGGCTCTGGTAAACATGACTCCT